TCAGGAGAAAAAGAAAACGACTCTTGTTCCCTGTAAAATAATTGTTATAATTTAACAGCAGAACAATCAAAATGTGGTTGGAAATGAGTGGTATATAATCACTGTGAAGAGGAGAGAAGCTGGCTGAGAAATACTAGACCGGTTTAAACCGCCAGAGGTTCTTATTGATTTGCTCTAAAAGGCAGTCCAGGCACTCTTGTTAGCCAGCACCCCTGGATAAACCTATAAATATTTACCATTTCCTGGCTTAACCGCTAGACAAGTGACTGAAAGTTACTCACTTCAGTTGACTGACTAGAGCTTGAACCACGCATCTGATATTTGCTGACTATTTTGAATAATAGTTACCTGACAAAGAGCTTTTTATTTTTTAAAAACTCAAGCGGATTTTTAGTTTGCAGATCAAACCATTGCTCCGTGTACATTTGATGGGCCAGGAATGGAGTCCACTAGACATGAAAACAGAGGTGATGATTTTTTTTTAAATTTTACCTACTACTCTAATCATTTGGCCAGGAACGATGGCTCACACCTGTAATCCCAGCACTTTGGAAGGCCGATGTGGGTGGATCATCTGAGGTCAGGAGCTCGAGACCAGCCCGGCCAACATGGTGAAAACCCATATCTTCTTAAAATACAAAAAAAAATTGGCTGGGCATGGTGGCAGGTGCCTGTAATCCCAGCTACTTTGGAAGGCCGATGTGGGTGGATCATCTGAGGTCAGGAGCTCGAGACCAGCCCAGCCAACATGGTGAAAACCCATATCTTCTTAAAATACAAAAAAAATTGGCTGGGCATGGTGGCAGGTGCCTGTAATCCCAGCTACTTTGGAGGCTGAGGCAGGAGAATGGCTTCAGCCTGGGCGGTAAGAGCAAGACTGTCTCAAAAAAAGAAAAAAACCTTGAATTATTTGCTTTAAAATGGAGGTATTAGGCTAAAACATATTGCCAGAGGCAAGATTTAAGTTAAAAGACCAAAGCAGATAATAACTATGTCTTCAGGTAAGAAATGAACACATACATAATTAAGTCACTTCTGAAGCCATATAAATTGGCTTGTTTTTGATTATTGGGAAGATTGTCAGAAAATAATAATTTATTTTCTTATTTTGAAGTTTTCCTAATAATTTATTATAGTAGTCTTCTCTACAACCTTAAGAGAGATGGAGAAGGAAAATGTGGTTGAAAAGAGCAAGTTATTTTCTGGGAATCAAAACTTGAATATTATAGATGTTGGCATGGATGTGGTAAAAAGGGAACACTTAGTCTGGGTGCAATGGCTCACACCTGTACTCCCAGCACTGCAGGAGGCGGAGGTGGGTGTATCACCTGAGGTCAGGAGTTCGAGACCAGCCTGGCCAACATGGTGAAACCTCATCTCTACTAAAAATACAAAGAATTATCCGAGAGTGGTGGCGGGTGCCTGTAATCCCAGCTACTTGGGAGGCTAAGGAGGAGAATCTCTTCAAACCAGGAGGTAGATATTGCAGTGAGCCAAGACTGTGCCACTGCACTCCAGCCTGGGCAACAAGAGTGAAACTGTCTCAAAAAAAAAAAAGGAATACTTTTACACTGATGGTGGGAATGTAAGTTAGTATAACAACTATGGAAGGCCAGGTGTGGTGGCTTACACCTGTAATCCCAGCACTTTGGGAGGCCAAGCTGGGCAGATCACGAGATCAGGAGTTCAAGCCCAGCTAAGACTATTTCAAAAGATGCAACATGTGTGTAATGGGAATAGTAGAAGGACAAGAAAATGAATGGAGAAAGGAGAGTCATGAAGACTTGGGATGTAATGAGAGTGTGTAACCAAATAATCTAATGGAGCCTGGGCTTCTCTAGTGTGTTCAGGACCCATTGAAAAATATACACAGAAATCAAATAGGTTTCAATATGTCAGCTTTGTTGCTGATATGGTTCAGAGAAGGTGGCTTTGACCCAAAGGCAAAATGACTTCCAACTCCTGCTCATCACAAATTACATTTACCCACTCAGTAGAAACAGAGATGCTAAACAATTAGTGCTCCCCGCGCTGGGCTTGTTGCCTGAAGAAAGTAGAAATCCAGAACAGGTGTAGCACGTGGGTGGTCGGCAACACAGGGAAAGCCAGAGATGGGAGAGGTGCACACTCACTCATCCTTAACCCAGAGTTTTCAACCAGCTAAGTTACTTCCCTTGTGGAGGGAGGCCAGTAAGGAACAGAGAAAGCAATTGAATGAAAAATATCCTTCTCTTCTGGGAGTGGAGAGTGTCACCCCTTGTTAGAAATGTGAGGCATGGGAAACGCGCATGTAGCCAGGGAGAAATCAACCTCTAAGCCCACCCCTGAAACTTACATAAGAACTGACGTGTGTGGTGCAGCTGCAGACTGTGGCTTTTCCAAGCATCAGAAACACACTCGATTTAAAAACTAATAGTTTTAAATGATACTTGTTCTGGCACATTTTTTTCAGAACTATCTTGCGAGAAAATGAGGAGAAATGTATATTTTAAAAGGCCATGGAAGAAGAAAGGAAAGAGATACTCCAGAAATAAAAGAAAAATCATGCCTGATTCATTTTTGTTTTCCTGGATCCTACCAGAAACACTGCCTTGGTCGATAGTGTTTATAAATGAAAGCTGGCCGGGGTCAGTGGCTCACGCCTGTAATTCCAGAACTTTGGGAGGCTGAGGTGCGTGGATTTCCTGAGCTCAGAAGTTCAAGACCAGCCTGGCCAACATGGTGAAATTCTGTCTGTACTAAAAAAAAATACAAAAAATTAGCCAGGCATGGCAGTGTGCACCTGTAATCCCAGCTACTCGGGAGGCTAAGGCAGGAGAATCACGTGAATCCAGGAGACGGGGGTTGCAGTGAGCCGAGATTACCCCACTGCATTTCAGCCTGAGCGACAGAGTGAGACTCCTTCTCCAAAACAACAACCACAAATATATATAAATATATATATATGAACATTATGGTGAAAGACAATCAGGTACATATTAAGGAACTCTTTATATCTACTGCAGAGAATCATTCATTATCAATCTTTTAAAATGTTCTTGAATTAGTGGTTATCAGATAATACTGATTTTTTTAAAATCTGGGTCACTGAATATGTAAATTAATCAGAGGAATAAATGAATTCTTTTCTCTAAAATAACCAGAGGTTTTTGAGTTGAGGGAAACTGCCTGATAAATGAACTGAGATTTTTTCCCCCCAACAGCTAGGATTGTTCAGAAAAAGAAAACACTCTGAGATATTTATGCAAACCTTCTGATGTGGGAAGTTTCACCCATATCGAATTAAAGACATTTATTATCTCACTACAATACAGCTTGGTTGAGTGATGAGATTTAAGAGCCATTAAGGAAGGGATTGGAAAGATAAAGATAAGCCCGACAGGGAAAGTGAGACTAGAGAAAGTGAAAGTCCAGAGGGGGAAGGCAGGCTTAGGCTGTCAAAGAAAAACGTGGGAAATGAAAAACCATTGTCCATGAGCAAGTGCATCTTCCGTGAAGAGCAAGTGCATTTCAGCCAGGTATGATGGCTCATGCCTGTAATCCCAGCACTTTGGGAGGCTGAGGCGGGTGGATCACGAGGTCAACAGATCAAGACCATGCTGGTCAACAGGGTGAAACCCCGTCTCTACTAAAAATACAAAAATTAGCTAGGCATGGTGGTGCGTGCCTGTAATCCCAGCTACTCAGGAGGCTGAGGCAGGAGAATTGCCTGAACCCAGGAGGCAGAGGTTGCGGTGAGCCGAGATCACGCCATTGCACTCCAGCCTGGGTAACGAGCAAAACTCCGACACAGAAAAAAAAAAAAAAAGAAAGAAAGCATGAAAAGTAGCTGAGTGTGGTAGTGGGCACCTGTAATCCCAGCTACTTGGGAGGCTGAGGCCAGAGAATCATTTGAACCCAGGAGGTGGAGATTGCAGTGAGCTGAGATCATGCCATTGCACTCCAGCCCAGGGACAGTCCTTTTTTGGAATCCATCTCAAATAAAGAAATCAAACCTTTGTTTTATGGTTATATATGAATTAGGCGAATTCATATTTTAAACACACAAAAAGGCAAAGGAGCTTGACTAGCAGAATTGCTGTTGGCAGAACCTGTTGCAAGCTGTATCCACTGGCTGTGTGCTTGACTGAATTCCTTCCTAGCTCTGGGCTGAACATCATTTATTTAGGAACCTCACAGGACTATTTTTGTTGTTGTTATTTCCATTGCTTGCCCAGTTTCCTGATTGTAACAATCAACCTGGCTGTAATGGTCATTCCTTACCTGTCCATTCATTCAGGGTATTCTTGGATTAAATGTCTGATATCCATAAATTGCAAAAATGTATAACTATCAAGTGTGAGCCTTTAGAACCAGTAACAATAAATACCTCATTGTTGGACCAACCCATCCAGTGCTGCAAAATCAACACTGCTAATAGAAATGTGTCTTTCCCTCTTCTAACTCCCTCACCAAGAAAATTCTCTCTCTCTCTCTCTCTCTCTCTCTCTCTCTCTCTCTGTCACACACACACACACACTTTTCTCATTAATTATAAAATAGACCAGGCACGGTGTCTCATGCCTGTAATTCCAGCACTTTGGGAGGCCAAGGTGGGCGGATCACTTGAGGTCAGGAGTTCCAGACCAGCCTGGTCAACATAATGAAATCCTACCGCTACAAAAAACACAAAAATTAGCCAGGTATGGTGGCGCATATCTGTGGTCCCAGCTACCTGGGAGGCTGCAGCATAAGCTGAGATGGCACTGCTGCACTCCAGCCTGGGCAACAGAGCAAGACTGTCTAAAATAAATAAATACATAATTTCCAACTGGTGCAGTGGTGTGTGCCTGTAGTCCCAGCTACTCAGGAGGCTGAGGCAGGAGAATCGCTTGAACCCAGGAGTTGGAGGTAGCAGTGAGCTGAGATCACGCCATTGCACTCCAGCAACAAGAGGAAACTGTCTCAAAAAAAGAGACACCGCGGCTTGCTCATGACGGCACTTTCTCTTTGTCTCTCAGATCGCTTACTTGGGGGAAGCCAGCTGCCATGTCATGAGTACCACTGTGGAAATGAACTGAAGCTCCCTGCCGAGAGCCGTCCAAGTGAGCTTGCAATGGGATGCTCCAGTCCAGCCACACCCCCAGTTTACTGAAGCCCCGGTTGACAGCTTGACTACAAAGTCCCAGGGACACCTGAAGCAGAACCACCCAGCTAAGCTCCTCCTGAGTTCCTGACTCACAGAAACTATTGGAGGTAATAAATGTTTGTTGTTGTATCCCTTTAAGCTCTGAGGTAATTTGTTATGAAGCAATAGATAACTAATAGACTACCCATGAATTAATTCGTTTACTAACTCATTTATTCAACAAGTGCCTATTGAAGTTCACAGTCCTTCAATCTCTGTAACACCCTTCAGTGGCATAATAAAACACTGTACCCTTCAAGAAGCTCACAGAACCCTCTGGAGGGTGTGGTGGCTCACGCCTGTAATCCCAGCACTTTGGAGGCCAAGGCAGGCGGATCACCTGAGATTGGGAGTTTGATACCAGCCTAATCAACATGGAGAAACCCCATCTCTACTAAAAGTACAAAATTAGCCAGACGTGGTGGCACATGTCTGTAATCCCAGCTACTTGGGGCTTAGGCAGGAGAATTGCTTTAACCTGGGAGGCGGGAGTTGCAGTGAGCCAAGGTCTCACCATTGCACCCCAGCCTGGGCAACAAGAGGGAAACTCCACCTAAAAAAAAAAAAAAAAAAAAGAGAGAGAGAAAAAGGAAAGAAAAAGAAAAATCACAGAGTTGGTAATAATACCTTTATCTACAATTAAAGTTCCATCATCCCTAGTAGGGAGATATAACATGTCAACGCACACCGTAATACAGTGACACATAGAAAACAAAGAATCAGGAAATATGCACCCATCAAAATGGCAATCTTTCATTGATAGAAAGAAACAGGACTTTATAAAATCTTGGCAGTCTTTTGGGTGTAGGGAATCCTGGCCAGTGGGTGGTGATTCAGTGAGAAACTGGGAAATAATGAGGAAATGCTATTACATGCAGTCAGCCAAATTTCAGATTTAAAATAAGACCTCCCTGACTCAAGTTTCCTTTTCGAAGATGATATTATCAAGAGTAACTGGATTATTTCAAATGTTATTTCTAGAGTTTCATTTTAAAATAAAGTTATACTGGCCATTCAAAGCACAGACTGGATTGCCATCTGTTTCCTACTCCAGTATATTCTTGCCGTCTGGGTATTTGCCTTCTCAGAGAAAGAAAGCAAAGGCAAATGGCTTATGATATGGGGAAGAATATGCAATGGGACTTATCGAAGTGGCAGCAGAACCCAGGGCTGCTGCTTCTTGTTTGGGAAAGCTGTTGCTGGAGGAGAAAAAAAAAAGTGAGAATGGGAAAGAAAGTAACTTTTTTTAGCATTTACCATATGTCAAGCTCTGGTAGGTGTTTTACATATACTGTCATTCAATCCTCATACATTTGGAAGGTGTCTATTATTAATACTGTCACAGAAATCAGGAAGCCAGCTTTCAGAAAGGTTAAGTGATTTACCTAATACTGTGCAGGACACTGCTTTCAAAATCCATCTTTTTTTCTACTTAATATGATGAGTCACCTGTTCATTCATAGCTAGTGTATATTGCAAGGAGAAAGTTATCCTTTTGCTTGATAAAACACACTTTTTGAATCATCACTGAAAATGTGCTGTACTCCTGGCAGGGCGTGGTGGCTCACACCTGTAATTACAGCACTTTGGGAGGATGAGGTGGGCGGATCACGAGGTCAGGAGATCCAGACCATCCTGGCTAACACAGTGAAATCCCGCCTCTACTAAAAATACAAAAAATTAGCCGGGTGTGGTGGCACGTGCCTGTAGTCCCAGCTACTTGGGAGGCTGAGGCAGGAGAATCGCCGGAACCTGGGAGGCGGAGGTTGCAGTGAGCTGAGATCATTCCATGGCACTACAGCCTGGCGACAGAGACTCAATCTCAAAAAACGTAAAGGAAGAAATAAAAAAGAAAAGAAAGAGGCCAGGCGCAGTGGCTCATGCCTGTAATCCCAGCACTTTGGGAGGCCGAGGTGTGGGTGGATCATGAGGTCAAGAGATCGAAACCATCCTGGTCAACATGGTGAAACCCTGTCTCTACTAAAAATACAAAAAATTAGCTGGGCCTGGTGGCGCGTGCCTGTTATCCCAGCTACTCAGGAGGCTGAGGCAGGAGAATTGCCTGAACCCAGGAGGTGGAGGTTGCGGTGAGCCGAGATCGCGCCATTGCACTCCAGCCTGGGTAACAAGAGCGAAACTCCATCTCAAAAAAGAAAAGAAAAGAAAGAGGCCAGGCACAGTAGCTCACACCTGTAGTCCTAGTACTTTGAGATGTCGAGGCAGGGGTATCACAAGGTCAGGATTCGAGACCAGCCTGACCAATGTGGTGAAACCCTGTCTCTACTAAAAATACAAAAATTAGCCAGGTGTGGTGGTGCACGCCTGTGATCACAGCTACTCAGGAGGCTGAGGCAGGAAAATTGCCTGATCCCAGGAGGCGGAGGTTTCAGTGAGCCCAGATCGTGCCACTGCACTCCAGCACCTGGGTGGCAGAGTGAGACTCCATCTCAAAAAAAAGAGAAAGAAAATGTGCTGTACTCCAAACAACCCATGCAGAAATGGCAAAGAAGACATGGAACAGTAAGACTTTCTTTTCCCTAGTCTCAACAGATGCATAATTCCTTCTTTTAGAATTGAAGTCCCATGCTGCCCAGAAATGATCCCTGTTCAAAATTTGCATGTATTTCTATGAACATTTTTCTAGGCAAATGTGTATGTGTGTCTAAGTATGTGCACACAGACACACACATGAGATTTTTCTATAATGACTTCTCTGTAATCTGCTTTTCTCATTCATGTAACAGTATATTGTTTAAATATGTCATGATGCATATATCTAGCCAATTCATTGTAAGAGTTCACTCTATTCTATTATTTAAAAATGGTTCCCAAACTTAAATAGCATTTCAAGAGCAAAATAAAGTTAATAAAGAGTGGCACAACATGCAAATCTGAAATACCTATACTGTGTATCTCTAGTGCCTTTGTTCTCCAGTGTCCATGTCTGTATCCCATAGCTAGTTGGCTCAAGAAGCAGACACTTTCAGATGACAGTTTCCGGGAGCAGAAAAAAATTAAAAACCTTAATTGGACCATCGATTGCTAGAGTCAGAACTAGACTTTTAGTTGTTCCTCAGCCTTGCTTTGAACATGAGCAATGAATGTCTCACCCACTGCCAACATCCCCACTTGTCTGTCCTGGGACACATTATCTTCTTTCACACCGGGAGCAGCCTACAGAGAGTTGCCTACCTGAGAATCAGCAGCCTGGTTCTGGTGAAAACACAACTGGGGCTCATAACTGGATACATCGTTTATCTGTTCCTGTCATGTGATAGTCACTACATACTCTAGAAAATAATGTCTCCCTCTTTTTTTTTTAAGGCCCATGGCATAGTTTTACTGCAGCTCCAATCTGACTCTACTCTACTCACACTCTATTCTCAGGGGTTTGGGGAAGGCCACCCCACTAGGAGCCCTGTCCCCACCAGAGCTTGGACATGGGATCTCTCTCAAGGAGGAGTCTCTGTCCTTCTTGGAGGCTTTCGTTCTCTCTCCAGTCTGTATGTGCTCTGAGCTGGGCTGGGCTGACACTTGGCTGTTCTTTCAATCTTGACGCTGGGGCTATGACAATCCAGGAAGACCTAGCTGTCCATGTCAATGGGGCTTGGGGCCTGGCAGTCCACACAGGGTGAATTCTGCCCCTTCCTGCTCCAGCGTCATCACAATCTGCTAGCCCAGCCAGGAGCTCGCCTGGAGGAGGGAAGCCACATCTAGCAGGCTGTCTTCCCTCTTTTCAGGAGGAGACAGAAGGTCCAGGCGGTCTTTGCTCACATGCACATGGCAGGTGGAGCATGCTAGGAAGGCTTCACAGGTGCTTTCCACGTTTACCCCATGGCATGGGGTCAGGTGGACAACACTGTCCCTGACTCTACTGCTCACTGGAATCCGCCAGCCTGACGGATCTACAAACACCACACTCACCACATTCCCGGGCCGCTCAGGGCCACTGCCTCTTCCTCTCCTGCCTGGCGCATCAGTCTGTTTCCTGAAATTTCCTGGTTGTCGTGGGCACCTCTGCCTCCCCGGGCCCCAAAGAGCCCCTGGGTCTGCTACACCAGGTGTCTCTGGCAGCCAGTGTAATCTGACCCTGTTAGACAATTATCTCTTACCTTTCGTCATGGCACTAGGGTCACCAAAAGAGTATTTTGTTTTCAAAGTATATATCCAGTTTTTTATGTCTGGCCATCATAAATAAATCTTCCAAATTTGATGAAAAAGTTATCTAGCCATTTTCAAGTTAAATGATAACCACAAAAAAAGAGAAAAAAAAATAGAGCAAAACATGATGTTATTTACATAGATTGGGAGTCTGCAAATGAGAGACTATGGACCAAATTCAGCCCATTGCCTTTTTAATAAATAAAGTTTACTTTTTTGTTTGTTTGTTTTTGGGCCATAGTTTCACTCTTGTTGCCCAGGCTGGAGAACATTGGCATGATCTTGGCTCACTGCAACCTCCACATCCCAGGTTCAAGTGATTCTCCTGCCTCAGCCTCCCAAGTAGCTGGGATTACAGAGTCCCACCACATCACCTGGCTAATTTTTTTATTTTTAGTAGAGACAGGGTTTCACCATATTGGCCAGGCTGGTCTCGAACTCTTGACCTTAGGTGATCCGCCCACCTCAGCCTCCCAAAGTGCTGGAATTACAGGCGTGAGCCACTGTGCCTGGTGAATAAAGCTTTAAAAAAAAAAAATTGTATTAGCCCTGCCTAAGCAAGACCTCAGAAAATTTGATTACCAACTCAGACTCTTCCTCTTCATGGAAACTTTTAGTAAACGACAAAAATAAAAATTATTCATTCTGACAAAAAATGAGAGCATTACAGATAAAGTTTTACTGGAACACAGCCACACACGTTGATTTATATATTGTCTATGGCTGCCTTCACTCTATAATGGCCAAGTGAGAAGTTGCAGCAGAGATCATATGGCCTTCAAAGCCTAAAATGTTTAGGCTTTCAAATAATTTGATATGTTTTCTCTGCTAGAGTTCCAATTTGTTTAATAGAGACACAGCACCTTATGTCAACAAAATGGCTCCGTGGTAAGAATTCTTAAAGAGTGGCTGTTTAGTGAGACTGGTCTTTCTCTTTGGGGACAGTGAAATATTTCTCTGCCTCCTCCAATGATACCCTCTAAGAGACGCCTTCTCCCCTTCATTCATCCTTAGCACCACAACGACACTCGGAAAGAGTCCCACCGTGCTACTCAGCAAGTTCTCTCCCTGCTTACCAGAAAGGAAGGAAGAAATTCAAGAAAACAAATTAAGAAAGAAAATGTGGGTGGAGGACAGATGACTTACTGGTATCTCCTCCACCCATCCTGTCTCCTGTCCCTACTCCGATCACCAGTGAGACGCCTGAGGTGTGGGAGGGGCTGTCGACAAAAGCGTGAGTGCCTGCAGATGTGGGTGTGTGCCTTTGAAAGCGAGACTGTTGGAGAATAGCCCTGTGCTCAGAGGAGAGAGAATTTGTCTCCTGGGACAGAGAGCATCTGTAGGAAATTACAAACTTGAGGTCATGTGTATTTAAGAGTGAGAAATTCAGTGTGGAAGAGACTTCAACAGCATGAGTGATAGGGATGCGAATGTGCTCAGGACAGTGAGCGTGTGAAACAGTGAATAAGGCAGGGATGATTATGTGTCCCAGAAAGGCACCAGATGTGTGACTAAGTGTGTGTGAACAAACAGAAGGAAATAAATAAAATAAATGAAAAGAGATGCAAAGTATGGATGAGAGTCATATGTATATGATGTCACTTCGGTGTGACTACATTGCATGTCAATCCAGTACCACCAACAAGAAATTCAATCTTACCCAAATCCTCTGGGTTGTAAAGCACAGTAGAAATGGATGACCAGGTGGTTAACTATATCCCTGCATTTTCATGAATTGAGATCATTTTAAATGATGTAGGCAAGAAAACCATTTAAAGACAGAAATAAACTATCTCACAAAAATATGTGTTCCGTTAGTGTTTTGTTGAGATTTCTATTCCACCAATTATGTTATATTGTGATCATCGATTGACTACTCAATGCAATGGCGTGATCTAAGCTCACCGCAACCTCCGCCTACCGAGTTCGAGGGGTTCTCCTACCTCAACATCCCAAGTAGCTGGGATTACAGGCATGTGCCACCACGCCCGGCTAATTTTTGCATTTTTAGTAGAGATGGGGTTTCACCCTATTAGCCAGGATGGTCTCCATTTCGCGACCTCAGGTGATCTGCAGGGCGTCAGCTTTCTGAAGTGCTGGGATTACAGGCATGAGCCACCATGCCCGGCTAATTTTTGCATTTTTAGTAGAGATGGGGTTTCACCCTATTAGCTAGGATGGTCTCCATTTCACAACCTCAGGTGATCTGCAGGGCGTCAGCTTCTGGAAGTGCTGGGATTACAGGCATGAGCCACCACGCCCAGTCTTGGCCACTTATGTCACTTGTATTTCCCACTTCATTCAGGGTCTCCCACCCAATGTTTGGTGCATAGTTTATAATCGTAAAATATTTGCTGAAGGAATGTATTAATAAGTGAAATAGTTTAGCTCTAAATTGAAAATTGCAACTCCTGCCGTCAATATGCAGATTAAAAAGACAGCTGCTAATAGGTTTCTTCCATAATTCCTCCAATGGGAAGCATGATTCTTTCTATAGGGATAGCAAAAATCATGGTTATTATCATTGCTACAATTGAAAAACAGTGATATACGCACACAATGCACACCAGTCTTTACTACAGTTTTTTTTTTTTTTTTTTTTGAGATGGAGTCTTACTCTGTCACCAGGCTGGAGTGCAGTGGCAAGATCTTGGCTCCCTGCAACATCTGCTTCCTGGGTTCAAAGCGAGTCTCCTGCCTCAGCCTCCTGAGCAGCTGGGACTACAGGAGCATGCCAACATGCCTGGCTAATTTTTTTGTATTTTTAGCAGAGACAGAGTTTCACCATGTTAACCAGGATGGTCTTGATCTCCTGACTTCATGATCCACTTGCCTTGGCCTCCCAAAGCGCTGGGGTTATAGGCGTGAACCACTGTGCCTGGCCAGACTTTACTGCAATGTTTTTAAACACTATTTTTTAAATTTTTGTATTTTAAATGACCTTTTTTTTTTTTTTTTTTTTTTGAGACAGGGTATCCCTGTGTTGCTAGGGCTGGTCTCAAACTCCTGGGCTGAAGCAATCCTCCCACCTCAGCCCCCAAAGTGATGGAATTGCAGGTGTGAGCCTCCATGCATAGCGAAGATCACTCCTAGAACAGAAAAGTATTAGAACTGGCTCATGATCACCCAGGTCCCCAGTTGTGGAGAAAAATTATTCTCCCTCAGGATCTGAATATCAGCCCTTGTGGGAGAAGATTATGTCTGGAGTTTGATTTTACTCAGATAAGACATGGCAGGGCTGACTATTCCCCAGCAGCAACGCAACCCCGAGTATGTACCTCCGCTATAGCTAAGAGAGAGATGAGCATTTTCACTAAGTTAAACAAGTCCTTAAAAATGAGAACACATGGACACAGGGAAGGGAGTACTACACACTGGGGTCTATTGGGGGGAATAGGGGAGGGACAGCATGGGGGGGAGCTGGGGAGGGATAGCCTGAGGAGAAATGCCAAATGTGGGTGAAGGGGAGGAAGGCAGCAAAACACACTGCCATGTGTGCACCTATGCAACTATCTTGCATGTTCTGCACATGTACCCCAAAACCTAAAGTGCAATTAAACACACACACACACACACACACACACACACACACACACACACAATAAGATTATCCTGCCCAGAGGGAAGTTTATAATGTCAAGACCATCCCAAGGAATAGATTTGGGTGCAGACAATGAACCTGAGAACCATATCGCTTTAGAGCTTCAGAGCTTCCTAGAGAGAGATGACCATATGTTCCAGTCTTTCCAGATAGCCCAGTTTATGCCTGTTGTCTTGGTGTAATTTCAAAGGTACCGGCTTTCACTCTAGAAAGTTAATTATACGGTCAACCTGCTCAGAGATGATCTAATGCTCATTTTACATAAGAGATGTTTGTACCCTGGAGCAGTGAAGTGACTCACCCAGTCACATAGCTAGTGGGACTTTCACCGTTGCAAATGGTAACAAACCTTTGCTTTTTGCAGAAAACTCAGGAGAAAGCCTTCACTTCCCAATCATGTCATTCTCTAATGACATGAATAAAAACTGAAGGAAACTACCTTACAGACATTCATCTTCCTGAGTCTTAAAGCTGTAAAAGGATTTCTTTCTTCATAAAGGAAATGCCTGTATCTAGAGAAAACATTCCAATCGGGAAAAAGGGTTCCAATTCAGGCCTCGAGTTCCTGGATCTCTCGCAGGAAGGAATTCAAAGTGAGTTGCAGAGTACAGCGAGAAGAGAGAGTTTACCGAAAGCTACTCAGTTACAGAGTGAGAGTGTCCTCAGAAAGCAAGACAAGGAATGCACCATCTTTGTCTTAAACTCTTTTTATATAGGGATCTTATCTACGTAAAACCTAAGCTAAAACAACATTTATTACTTTGTTGATTTAAAGAAAGTTTTCCTTGGCATTTCAGTGCGTAAGCACATCAAAAGCATAACCATAGTCACCTTAAAAGCATACATTGTTATGCAATATCGGGACATCTGGACGTTTTGTTGTCATAGGAGTTTGTCCTTGCAGGCGTGATTAAGCTGTTTCCTTGGTGGTAAACATCTTATGACCACAGGTCGTGACTGGCAAGGAATGTGCCTTGCTAGTTTTAAGATGGAGTTGATTTGAAAATGATGTCACCCTGGCTCTCCCACGTTCCTGTTTCCCTAACAATTCCACCATCATATTGGCCTCATCTCAAGTACAGCTCAAAATCCTTGATTGTGGGCATACCGAGGGTGGTGAATTTCAGCTTGCACTTATGCTGCTGGGTAAAGTCCAGCCAGAATTGGGCCTATTCCCGGCATGGGGACAGGAGATGGTGTTCTGGCTACAAGGTCATCACGAATTTGCTGACATTTGATGTATCTGTACACTGCATTAGACATTCATGGACATTTAAAAAATTCTTGTATAAAACACTTTCCATTCCTCACTGTATCATGTTTTGGATCCTAAAACAACTTAGTGCAGAGGTCAAATTTTGGAGTTCTAGGCAAGAGACACTAAGCAAAAAAGAAAAAAAAAAATCTGAAGTTCAGCCAAGGCCCCAGTAATCTTATGGAATACATGGGACCTTCACTGAAGAGAGGGCTACTGGGCCGTTTGTGATGTGATAATCCACCTCTCAGCACCCAGTTTGTCGCCTCCTTTCTTCCCTCCCTGTCCCAGCTTGGTTCAGGCTCCCTCACTTTTTGTGTGGTTGTCATCTATCTGGCTTTCTTCTCCATTCTAACCCATCCTGGAGACTGCTATAATTTCTGTTACTTACTAGATGAAAAGTCTTTTTTCTTTTCTTTCTTTTTTTTTTTTTTTGAGACAGAATTTCACTCTTGTGTTGCCCAGGCTGGAGTGCAATCGCACAATCTCTGCTCACTGCAACCTCCACCTCCCGGGTTCAAGCGATTCTCCTGCCTCAGCCTCCCGAGTATCTGGGACTAGTATGTGCCACCATGCCTGGCTAATTTTGTATTTTTAGTAGAGACAGGGTCTCTCCATGTTGGCCAGGCTGGTCTTCAACTCCCAACTTCAGGTGATCTGCCTGCCTCGGCCACCCAAAGTGCTGGGATTACAGGCATGAGTCACCTCGCCCAGCCCCGAAAAATCTTTTAATACTTTTCCATTGTCTATAAGATGAAAGTCAGGCTGGGTGTGGTGGCTCAAACCTGTAATCCCAGCACTTTGGGAGGCCAAGGTAGGAGCTGAGAAGTTTGAGACCAGCCTGGGCAACAGGGTGAAACCTGGTTTCTACCAAAAATACAAAAATTAGCCAGCGTGGTGTCACACACCTGTGGTCCCAGCTACCCAGGAGGCTGAGGTGGGCGGATTCCTTCACCCTGGGAGTTCAAGGCTGCAGTGAGCCATATTGCGCCACTACACTCCAGCCTGGGCAACAGAGGAGAGCCTTTTTCAAAAGAAAAAAACTATAGAAATGAATATGTGAAGGAGTGAATTAATTTACGAAAGCATAAAACTCTTAGCATGTTGCAATGAAGGCTGGTGGTTATTCCACCTGCCTATTTACAAAGCTTTCTCCTGGCTCACAGAGTAGGCATGTGACACAGGGTTGACCAGTCACATAAAGATGCCCCTTTCCCATCATCATGTGATTCAAGTAGGGTGGTCATGTGACTGAAGCCACAACAATCAGAACTCCACCCTTGTATTTTTTGTCTGGAGCTGTACAAGAGGCAATTTTGCTTCTGAAATCACAATAATAGAGGACTATGAAATTGGGGCTGTTTGGTGAGGTGACTTATACCTATAGTTACAGCACTTTTGGGGGCCAAGGTGGGAGGATTACTTGAGCTCAGGAGTTTGAGACAAGCCTGGGCAACATAGTGAGACTTTGTCTCAAATAAAACATAAAATAATAAAACATAAAAAAATTAAATTAAATTAAAAGTTGGGGCTACAGGCAAAGACTTGGTGTATTAAAAGATAATACAAATAACCAAATGGAAGAAAGTTAAAGAAATAGATGAGAGTTTGGAGTACTGGAGCCACGGAATCCCTATTTCTCTCTCTCTCTCTCTGTTTCACTTTGTCATCCAGGCTGGAGTGCAATAGTGTGGTCTCAGCTCACTGCAATCTCTGCCTCATGCGTACAAGCGATTCTCTTGCCTCAGCCTCCTGAGTAGCTGGGACGACAGGTGCGTGCCACCATACCTGGCTAATTTTTGTATTTTTAGTAGACACAGGGTTTCACTATGTTGACCAATCTGGTCTTGAACTCCTGACCTTATGATCTGCCTGCCAACCACTCGGCCTCCAAAAGTGCTGGGATCAGGCGTAAGCCACCGCGCCTG